ATCCCAAATTAAGTCATAGCATGGTCAAAGAGAGTTCCTTCCAATGTTTAAAAGCCAATTAGGAGAGTCGTGTATTAGATGATTTTCATAACGCCAAAATATCAACACCTGCACATAGAAAAGTTTCCAAACAAATAGACAAAAACAATACCAGGGTCCAAGGTCTCAAATCTCCAAGAGCAAAGGGCAAGGATCCTAGAGGTAATTCTGAAGTCTGAGTCACAAAGTCCAGCATAAGATCATAATAATCTGAATTTAAGAGAACCAAGTCTTTTAGTGTTTAAGTATTTATTGAGGTGTTAAGAGAAGTATGGCGCAAGTGGACAAAGAAAAAAAAACATAAGCATAAACAAATGTCCAAGTGGACAAAGAGAAAATAAGAAGATGATAATATGATATGAAATGTTAAAAATAAAAGCATAAAGTAAATGACAATAATTAAAGAGCATAAAGATAAATGACAATTAAAGGTAAAGTTAGTGTTAGTATGTCAATGTTAATGATGGAGAACGATTTGTCGTTTTTTGGAGAATACTCGACCAATCCACCATAGGAATGAGAACACGAGTCCATACACCATTAAAGAAAGGGCTCCAACTCGGATTAAATCAATGAGTATGCCAACTAACTCCCTCAACGATAAGGAAATGATCTATCTCAAACCACACTATGACGATTAGGAGATCAATAACTATAACTCACTTACAAAAACAACTCAATTCCGATTTAGGGACAATTTAGCGCTATGTTAAGCAATCGTAATCGGACTTTTGTATAAGCCACGACTATCTGAGGCCAGACAATAATAATGTTTGTGCTAATGTATGTTAGAGAAGTGATATGTAAATCATCTTCTAAAAGCAATACCGCACGAAAAGAAAATAGGTAACTATCTCTTCTTCATCAAGAACTTGAAACAAGTTCCAATGATATTGAAGATTTTCATTTATCAAAAGAAAAAAAAAAGAAGATGGGAGAAGAGAAGCCAAATTGAATCACAACATTTGAATCATTCCATCTTTAAGTTCCACCAATCTTCTTGGTGGATTAAAGCACTAAACCTATCACTAATTCAAAGCACTTAAAATAAATCCAATAATCCACTTAAATATAGATTTGGACCAATGAAGGTTTATCTAACTTCTTCAAACACCCAAAGTCCCTGGAATTTGAAGAGAAAATTGATCAACGAACATCACAATTCAAGGAAAAACAAAAGGAAATGGAAGAAGGAAGAAAAGGAACCAAAACAGTCCCAAAATAAGTCCAAAAAAACACATTCTGACTGTGTTAATCGATTAACCATTTCATGTACAAATTTGGTTTATCGATTAAAACCGATAGGACAACAAAAAATTTTGAAAAAAAATTCAGCATTTGTGATTCAATCATTTCTTCAAATACCGCATGATCATGAATGCAATTGAACATGAAAATTCAAGTAAAACAACAGCAAATAACACCAATAAAACACAATTTTCAAGATCCAGAGATCAAGCAACAAGAATCAACAAGAGATCACATTGTGAAATACGAATCAAGCACAACAATGGTGGAACAAGAGTTTACCACTTCAAAATCTGAAAATTCTTCAAATCAACTTCAAGAACCACACTCCAAAGTCTTGATCTATAGAATTTGATGTTGAAGAAGTGTTTTGATGAAGGTTTTAGCTCAAAGATTAGTAAGCTTCAATGAAAAGCTTACTAACTTTTAATGGAAGAAAGAGCTTTGGTGAATTTGGTGGTTGAAGGGAACTGAGAGAAATTTTAGCAAGGTGAATTTGGCTATCGAAAGTTTGAAAAATGAATGAAATGAAGCCTCTATTTATAGAATTTAAGGTTGGAAATTTTGGTGGTTTGGAATTTGATCTAGCCTTGGAAATTGAATTTGGAGGCAAAATCAAGACCAAGTGGTGATTAATGAGGGTGTGTGATGGGAATTAATTATGATGAGGTGGGGGAATTAAAATGAGGTGATCTAGAATACTCTCAAAATGAAACAAGTGAATTTTGGTGTCAAAATGGTGTAGAATTTGAAAATTCTATTTTTAGCCCAAAAACGCACTGGTTAATCGATTAACCAATTTTAGACATATTTTAGTTAATCGATTAACATAGTGAAAAAATGAGAAAAATGACAATTTGTTGTGTTGTCTTAGCTCCGGCTCTATTCTTTTGACTTGTGAAAGAAGGCATGGAAATAAACATATGAACCTTAGAGTCTCTTGAGCAATAAATAATCAAATCTTGGGAAACTCTTGATCAAATGATTTTGAATTGTTTGCATATCAACTTTGACTTTTTTAGATGAATTTCATTCGAGCTGAAAGACTGGTATTTGATGTTCTTGATTCCAAACCTCCTCCTGAAAAAGAGTTAGTAAAGGTAAAAACAAACATATTTTTGGATTTTAATTAAGGGTTAGTATAAACATAAACAAAAATCAAGCAAACAAGAAAACAAGGGTGCTTGGTGATCTTGTTTGTGATGCAGGATGCAAATGATATTTGGGATCTTAGGGTTAAAAATTAGGGTATTACACTGAATGTAAATGATTCCTTGCAGGCCCCCAAAAATCAGCATGAATGTAGTCAAGGGATCCATGTGTTCTTTGTTTATCTTTGTTAAACTTCATCCTACAGGATTTTCCAAATACACAAGGTTCACAAAACTCCAACTTCTTGACTTTGTTACCGCCTAGCAGGTTCTGTTTCCCCAGTTCGACCAGGCCTCTTTTGCTGACATGTCCCAATCTCATGTGCCATAATTTTATCTTCGACGCCGGTTTCGTGGATGCAAAATCTGCTGACCCACTTACAGCCTCAGCCTCAAGGGTATACAAGCCTTGTTTCTTCACGCCTCTCAAGACTTCCTTCGACCCCTTCATGAATTTCAAGATACCTTGTTCTCCTTTAAAGACATATCCTTTCTTGTCGAATTCACCAAGAGAAATCAAATTCCTCTTAAGATCAGGTACATACCGAACATCAGTCAATAGCCTTATTGACTTAGCATTGAGCTTAAATCTCACAGATCCAATACCTGCAATTTTTCAAGCTTTACCATAGAGCTTAAATCTCATAGATCTAATACCTGCAATATGTCTTAATCACATAATTCTTCAAACACATTCTTGTTTTGAGTCATATGACAAGTACATACTAAATTCATAATCTACTCTTTGCAAAATTTGCTGCTCAACACCACAAAGACATCAAATGATTCATAATCATCTTGCACAATAGCTGCATTATCCTTACCTCCATAATTGTTCAAGTGCTCAGGACACACCTTTTTTGTGTGACCCTCCTTCTTACAGTAATAACACTTAATATCAGAAATATCACCACCATAAGACTTCCGCTGAGTTTTACCTTTCTTCTTCTCAAACCTACCATCTCTTTTCGAGGATTTCCCCTTCACGGACAACCCTTCGCCAACTGATGATGATGGTTTATGCTCATTTCTTTCCTTCAAATACAAGGCTACTTGAACTTCTTCAAAGGTCGTGGACTCTCTTCCATATAAGAGGGTTTCTTTGAAGTGATTCTGCGACTTAGGTAAAGAACACAACAATAAAAATGCTTGATCTTTGTCATATACAATCCTTCGAGTTTCAGCCAAACACTAACGGTCGTCGTCTCTTTTAAAACCTGTCTGAGAACCTAATCACCATGACTTAGAACAATTGCATTGTGGGCTTTCTCGATCATCGTTTTCTTATCCTTCTCCGTCAATGCAGCATCCATGGCATTTCCTCCCTTTAACACTTCTAGCAAACCCTATTGAACAAGAAGGGCTCACATCTTCAAGCGCCATAAACCGAAATCATTAACTTTGGTGAACTTCTTAATTTCAAACTTTGTTGACGGCATCTTCTCCACGCTCACCTCACCAGTTTGTTGTGATAACAAACATACCTTTCAACAATTTCTTGAATGAGAAACAAATTTTCTTGATGAACAATGAGACGGTTATGTTTCTAAAGAGAGAAAGAAGAAAAGATAAAGAAGAAAGATAGAAGAAGGATTTGGAAAAACTGTTTTATATTCACTTACTCAATGTTACAAATGATTACAAGTGAATAACACAATTAGCATCATTCAACAACCTGGGTGATCTAGCCTATTTATAGACTACAAGATAACTTAAATAACAAGCTAACCTAAGCAATTGGATCCTTAATACAAGACTCAATTCGATATAATAATTCGACACTACATGCTAGAACTAACTTTGACTACAGTATGTAAATACTTCGACATCAGCATGTGAACAATCTTCAACTTTATATTTGTCTTCTGTCGAATCATGAAAGCTATCGCAACCGACAACACTAAAGTTCAATCCAATAATCTCACAACATTAAAATTTTACAACTTTTAATTGACATATAATGATTAGGAATTTTGATGTATTTGTTAGGAGTCATATATTTATGTATTTTTCCCATCCTTATAATTTCTTCAATGCATAAGTGTACAAGACGGTATTCATTTGAGTTGAAATTTTACATCAAATGAAACATGCAAGTAATTTATCTTTATTATTTCTAACCATATGAACCAAGTTGAGCAAAAATCGTAAATATAATTGATAGAAGAAAATTAAACAAACCAACAATTTCTATCCGTCTCCATTTTGATTTGCTTCGTAAGTTTATAACCTTATACACTACTTATTTTTAATTTAAATTTTATCTAAACTTTTAAAAACCTGTGAAGAAAACGTTAACTAAACAAAAACCCAAATACACGTTCTCAAATCCCTCTTTCATACATATATGGAATACTACTATCAAAACTATCAAACCGCAAAAACTAAAAATCATTTATATGAAAAAATAAATAGTTGTCTATCTATAAATATTTACCATCATTAATCAAGCAAGATTAACCGAATCATTACGAAAAAGAAGAAAAGTTTCAAATTTTACAACACTGGAATTTCAGCTCATCAAGAAGATGGCGAAGAAGCTACATTAATTTACTACAACAACTAGTGTCCTTTAGTTTCACATTGTTGAGAAACTACTTTTGTAGTTTTGGCAAATGAATCGACGGTTACGTGACAAGTAGCCTCGTAAGTCACTGACTCTCTTTGAAGCAAGCTCAATTTCATATGAGTTTGAACATTAATTGATAAAGAAAATGTAACATGCACTTTCTTTTTACCATTTGTCTTGCTTTCTTGAACTTCTTTAGGTAATTTTGTTGTTGAGCCTTTTAAAGTTACTTCAAAATTTGTTGAATTTTGATTGGCTTGAGAGAATGTTGGATATTCACCTGAAGCAATTTTTTTCTTTTTTAAAGAGAGGGAAACATCTCCTCCTTCTTTATATAAAATGTCCACATTTGTATTTGGATTATAGGCTTGTATAGTGATTTTGTATTGTGGGCGTAGTTTGCTTTGTAAGAGAAAGTGTTTGATTGAAAACTCTGGATCCTTTGGTGGATTTGTCATGGAAAAAAGGCCACCTAAAACACCTCCAACCAAAATGATAATAGCGAGGAAGAGGACGATGAACACAATACACCAACAACAACAACATGTCCGCTTTGTCTCCTTAGTGGGAGGTTTCCGATGACTCTCGGCAATAAGGGCATTTTCGGGTGGTGGGACGCGGTAAATTTGGTCCTTAGGGACTTGGACAACGTAGGTGCCATGGCCAAAATCAGGTAATTGGGGGTTAGAATTAACATCATGTGGAGGAGGTGGTCGCGGCGGCGAGGCCCGCTCCTCCATATGGGGAGCGGCGGGGGGAGATAGGGAGGAAAGAGGAGGTTTTGAAATGGGAAAATGCTATTAGAAAGGAAGAGAGGGGAGGGGTTTGCATGGGGAATGGAAGTAGGTACTATGCATGAGAGATGATAATTTGTGATTAGGAGAAAATGGGGTAAAGGTTTGGTTGAAAAAGTAAGAGGATGAGGAGAAATTCTAATATTAGAGTTGATTAATGGTAAATTTTCTATTTAATTACTAGATTTTGAGCTGCTTTTACGGGTTAATATTTCCATTAAATTAAAATTCTCATATAAGATTTTCTAAATCAATAAAAAAATTAAGGGATTTTCAAAAAAGTTTACCTGTCCCGAAATTTCTCAAGTTAAAAATAAATATTTATATTCGTTTTGGTTTTGCTAGACTAAACTTTGAGGGATATGCCAAGTATGATCTCTGCACTGAACCAATAATCAAATGAAAATAAAAGGGAATTGATGTTTGCACCTTACATTTGAACAACCTGGAAATTAGAAGCTTCTCTGTTTGCGCTTTTTATGGAGGTAAATATGTATGAACTTTTTAAAGTAAAAAATAAATTTACAATTAGAATAAGACATTTTTGCCTACACCAAAAAGTTACCCGTTCACCACTATATTTTATACAAGTTTATCAATTTGCTTTGTATATATACTTTAGCTCTTAAATTTTTTTAATTGATGCTTGAACAAATAAGAGAATAGAGAAAATTACCATGCATACCTAAACACTAAAAGTATAAGATGTGTATTTGCTTATCAAAATACTTCGGGTTTGGCTTGGGTGTTTTTAGGGAGGATACACGCTTTGAGAGGATGACTCCCCTCTAACTTTACTCCAAAAAGCAATTTGAGAATGGTTGATCTTGATTTTATGTTATTAATTTAAGAGAGGTGGCATCTAGGGAGATTGTCATTTCATATGTTTTTTTAGTGAAATAATAGTTACTTTTGATAATATTGTAAGTTTACTTCACCTTTCAATCAGGGGTAGCTTCCATCATCATCTAATTTGATCAGTGAAGAATGTGTTGATGCATTTGCTATAGAGTTATTTGGGGTGACTATACATGAGGCTAGGCAAGAGACTCGTAGTTGTAGGGGTACTATTGGTTGTTGCTTATAGGATGCATTATTTTTGCAAACTAGAGTTTTACTCTTTTAGAGGAAAAATATCTACCAATGTTTATCAACATGTTTAACTACTCAAGATTGTTGGAAATTCACCTCACACCCTATGAAGAATTCTCTTCAATCTTGATCTCAAGATTGATGAACAAACCCACAATATGATAATGATGGTAATAACAAGTAATTATCAAGAACAACAAAAGAGAAGAAGAATAACAAACAAGAAAGAGAAGAATGAGAGAAGAAGTATTTGGAGAGAATGTGTTACCCACAACTGTGGGATTTCTTATTGAACTTTCACTTGCTAACTGCAACTGTGAAATCTGTTCTGTTGTGATGTAGAATACAAAGCAAGGCACCCTATTTATAGTTTTAGGTTTACACTATCCCAAAACATAAAAGGCCCAAAATATTCTAAATTAAATCTAATCATATGATATCAAATCTAATCATATGATATCTAATCATATCATATCAAATTAATCATATGATATCAAATCTAATCATATCAAATCACAATGAATTATATTTAACACACCACCTAATTTATTATGTCTAAACTGTCTACATTCATCATGGCCCTTAGTCTTCTGAAGGCTTCGACCTGCACTCCCTTCGTCATGATATCTGCAATCTGATTCTCAGTTCTGCAGTGTTCCAACTTCATCTTCCCTTCTGCTACCTGCTCTCGAAGATAATGGAACCTCATTTCGATGTGCTTGCTTCGACCATGAGCTATTGGATTCTTCGCCAAGTTGATAGCTGACATGCTGTCTATCTTCATGGTAATTGCTCCATGATTCTTCCCTGTGATTTCTTCGACCAAGTTCACCATCCAAGTTGCTTGACATGCACAAAGAGAAGCAGCTATATATTCTGCTTCGCATGATGACAATGCCACTACTGATTCCTTTCTCGAATTCCAAGCAACGGGTGCACCACCTAACATAAACACATACCCAGCTGTGGATTTTTGATCCTCAGCATCACTACACCAACTAGAGTCTGTGTATCCCACTAACTTGCATTATTTTCCTTCATCAGCTACTGGAAATAAAATGCCATAGTCGAGAATTCCTTTTAGATACCTTAGTATCCTCTTCGCCGCTGCTAGGTGTGATACCTTTGACTTCTGCATGAACCTACTTACCATACCAACACTGTATGCTAAGTCAGGTCTTGTGTGACAAAGGTATCTAAGTGACCCAATAAGTCTTCTGTATTGGGTTGGGTCGACATCATCTTCATATGAATCCTTCAACAGTTGTAATTTGGGCTCAGCTGCATTGACTGGTTTGATGGACTCCAACTCTTCAATCATTGCTTTCATCCACTTCGAATCTTTCAATGCCTCAGCTGCATTGACTGGTTCATCTGCGTAGAAAGCATAATGTACCAACTCACCCTCTTCATCGACTACATCATCTGATGTAATTACACATTCTTGCAACCTTGCAGGCATATGTCTTGTTCGTCGAGGTCTGCTTGAACCTGCTTCATCTGCAACTGGTTCCTGTCGAACTTCTATTTCGACTTCAGTGGTTGGTTCTTCACAAGAGATTCTCACTGAATCCTTCTTGGCATTCTCAGTCCAATCCCATTCTTTAAGCTCATCTATGATCACGTCCCTGCTGATCACTACCTGCTTATTCACCGGGTCGAACAACTTGTACCCTCCTGTCGAATGATATCCTATCAAGATCATCTGATTTGACTTATCATCAAGTTTCCTTCTCAACTGATCTGGCACATGTCTATGTGCTATAGATCCAAACACCTTCAAGTGACTGAGACTAGGCTTAACACCAGACCAACATTCTTCTGGTGTGATTCCTTCAAGCTTCTTCGTCGGACATCTGTTCAATATATATGTTGCTGTCGAAACTGCTTCTCCCCATAATTCTTTAGGTAGATGCTTTCCATTCAACATACTTCTCACCATATTCATGATGGTTCTGTTCTTGCGTTCTGCAATCCCATTTTGCTGTGGAGTGTAAGGTGGCACCACCTCATGCACAATCCCTTCTTTTACACATAGTGTATCGAACTCTTTCGACACATACTCTCCACCACCATCAGTCCTCAGAATTTTCAGCTTTCGACCACTCTGTCTTTCGACCATGGACTTGAATCTGGAAAATACCTCAATCACATCACTTTTCTTCTTGATGAGGTAAGTCCACAGCTTTCGACTGTAATCATCTATAAACGTGACAAAGTATCTATTGCCACCAATCGAATCCACCTGGATTGGACCACATACATCAGAGTATATGACTTCAAGTATTGCCTTCGACTTCCTTCCTGCATCCTTGCTGAAGCTATTCTTATGTTGTTTCGACTGAACACACTCCTCACAGACTTCACTTGGAATGTCGATTTCTGGTAATCCTGAAACCATATTTCTTCTCTTCAGTTCTCTGATGTCATTAAAGTTGAGATGACCTAGTCGAAAATTCCATAACCACTCATCTCTGCTGGCTGCAGTTGCCAGACACTTGTGCTCCATCACATTGAGTCCAATCTTGAAGGTCCTATTCTGAGACATTAGAGCCTTCAAGATTAATCTATCATTTGCATCGAGAACTCTCATCATCTTGTCTTCGACAACTACCTTGTAGTTCTTTTTGACAAGCTGCCCTATACTGAGTAAATTACTCTTCATGCCTGGTATGTACAACACATTAGAAATTGTTGACCTTTTGCCATCTTTCCTCATGATCAAACCATCACCAACACCTTCAGTTGCTAGAGTGTTGTCATTTGCAAACTTCATTGTGTTCTTCGACGAGGGCTTCATGTTCACAAACCAATCTTTCCTTCCAGTCATGTGTGATGAGCATCCTGAGTCCAAGTACCACTGATCTTGGAATCTTTCTTCATCTTTTGTTGTGACCATTAGCAACATTTCTTCTTCTTCATGTTTCGCCAGCTTTGCATCAGTCTCTTGATTTTTCTTCCTTTCTGGACAATCACTAGCATAATGACCATACTTCTAGCAATTGAAACACTTAATGTGGCTTTTGTCTGGCTTTCAACCACCACCTCTTCCTTTACCTGAAGTACCACCTCTTTGGTTGCCTTGGTTCCAAGGTTTCTTTTGATTCGACTAGTTTCCTCCTTTGTTACCATTCCAGCTACCTTTGCCTTTTCTCTCCTTTTCCGTCTGTGCCTGCAAAGCCATATCTTTCGACTTTCCTGCAGCTCTCTCAGCCATCCTCTGTTCATGAGACTCAAGAGTCCCTTGAAGCTCTTTCTTCGTCAACACTGACAGATCTTTTGACTCTTCTATGGCAACTACCACGTGGTCGAATTTTGAAGCCAACGATCTCAAAATCTTTGAGACAACTGCTTTCGTCGTCAGCGTTTCTCCACATACTTTGATTTGATTCACCAACCTTGTAACTCTGGTGAAGAAATCTGTAATGCTTTCATTGTCTTCCATCTGAAGCAACTCATAGGTTCTCTTGTGAGTTTGTAACCTCACCTCTTTCACCTTCTCTGTGCCTCCAAACGACTTTTCAAGAATCTCCCATGCTTCTTTTGTTGAATCAACATCACTAACCTTTTCAAATTTATCAGGATCAACACATTGATGAATTATAAAGAGTGCTTTATAATCCTTCTTCTTCAATTCTTTGTGCGCTGCCTTTTCCGCCTCCATTGCGTTCTACCCAAGCGATGTTACTCCATCTTTCACAAGATCCCAAAGATCTTGATAACAGAAGATCACCTTAATCTGCTTGCACCAATTCTCATAATTGTCTTTCTTGAGAATTGGCAGGGTCGCCGGAAAGTTGCCGTTCGGATAATTCATCGCCATCACTATCTTCCTTCCTTGAATCTCTCAACCG